TAAGTTCATTAGTTATACAGTTGACCCTTGAACAATGCAAGAGTTAATCCACGAATAACTTATTGTTGGCCCTCTTCATCCGCAGTTCCTCTGTGTCCACAGATTCAACCAACCATGGACCATGTAGTACTGTAGTGTTTTTTTTTTTACCTATTATATAATGAAATTTATTTATTTATTTTTTATTGGGGTATAGTTGTTTTACAGTGTTGTGTTAGTTTCTACTGTACAGCGCAGTGGCGTTCCCTGTGCTATACAGCAGGTTCTCAAGTACTGCAGTATTTACTATTGAAAAATATCTGCATATAAGTGGACCCTTGCAGTTCAAGGGTAAACTGTATATTCAGTTTTTTCCATCTATATCTTTCTAAATATGTATACTGTATATTTCTTTGTAATAAATTACCCCAGTACTTAGTGGCTTAAAACTGCAAACATTTAGTATCTCACAGTTTCTATGGTTCAGAAATTTGAGTGCAGTTTAGCTGGGTGGTTCTGGCTTAAGGTCTCTCATGAGCTAGCAGTCAAGCTATTGGCCAGGGCTGCAGTCATTTGTAAGGTTGACTGGGGTTGGCAGACCCATTTCCAAGATTGCTGACTCACATGGCACAGCATTTAAGTTCCTTGCTGGCTGTTGACAAAACAGCCACATGGGCCTCTCCACAGGGTACCTGAATGTTCTCATGACATATCAGCTAGCTTTCCCCAGAGTGAGTGATCCGAGAGAGATCAGATAGGAGGCTGCAGTATCTTTTATGACTTAGTCTCCAAAGTTGCACACCATCACTTCTGCTTTTTCTTATTCCTTTCTTAAAAGTAAATCACTAAGTCCAACCCACATTCAAGGAATGGTAAATTAGACTTCACCTTTTAAAGGGAGTGTCAAATAATTTGTGGACATTATTTTAAACCAATAATTTGATCTGAATGATTTACTATGTTTGTATTTTTAAAAAAATCTTCTTGCATTTATAGTAGCTAAATATACAAAGCAAAAACTTGTTCTTTTGTTTATTGAATACAAGTTTATGAATTGTATCTTCTTTATAAAGTGCCTGTTATTATGATATAATGTTGCTTTATCATCATGTTTAGCACTTTTAATGTTAAAAATTCCACTCTATCTAATATTAATATTTGCATTTTTGCTTTTTCTTTGTTGTAGTTACCTTGTTTTCAGTCTCCCTTTATTTTTTTCATGTGTATTTCTCACAAACTATACATACCTGAGTTTTGTGTTTTAATGTAGTCTGGTAGTCTTGGTATGTTAATGGTAGAATTTAACCCACTCACATTTAGTATAACAACACATATTTTTGAAAAATGTCCTTCTATTTTACTTTGTTTACTATTTATTTCTCTTGGTTTCATCCTTTTTTCCTTTCTTTTTGCTGTTTTGGTGAAGTTTTTAAAATTATTGTTTTCTTTGGCACTTTTACTGTGCTTTTCCATTCATTAGTCATTGTCTTCCCATTCCTGACATTTCTAATAAATGATGTATGTATGTATACTTCTCAAATAGCTATAACTTTATTCCTCCACCATTAGCCTCTCTCTCCTCCAGTAAGACAAATATATTTGTTTTCACATTTTCCATGTACATCTCCCATTCAGATGAGATTTGTAGAGAATTTTACTTTTCTCCCTTCAGCTCTCCTGCAAATCCTTAGCTATTGTTCATGCCATATTTTTATTTCTTGACCATTATTAGATTTCCTTCATAGTATGTCTCTTCTATTTCTTGAATCCTTGCTTTGTACTTAAACACAATTTCCATATTATTGCTATTGATTTATATTTAATTATATATTGCAAGGTTCATTGTTCACATCTGTATTCTTTCCTCTTAGTCTTTCCCTGGCTTAAGGACTTTTTATTGTTACTGCTATTATTTGGTTAGAATATTGTCTTGAGTATTTTCCTCTATGGGGCATGTGGGTGTTAGATTCTCTAAATGCAAGCTGCTTGAATGCAGGGACTTTGTATTGTTTACTTCTGTGTTTCTAACACCCTAAAACTGTATCTAGTACATAACAAGCAATCAATACATGTTCATTGAGCATAGAAATCATGAGCTCTTTCAAACTTCAGGCTGAAGTCTCTTTTTAACCATAGAAAATTCCCTCTCTTATTTATGTAATTATTGCCTCTTCTCCATCTGTTCCTTTTTCCTGATTCTGGAATGCTTATTATTGGCACATTAGTTCTCTTGGCTCTGAACTCTAATCTCTTACTCATTCCTCATGATTTCCATCATTTTGCCTTTTGCTCTGTGTGAGAGATTTTTTATCTGCTTGCTCTTTCAGGTCAGTAATGTATTTTTCAACCATTCCTTCTTTTAGTTAGTGCCAATCTATGCTATTTTAAATTTGAATAGCATATTTTTCATGCCAAGAATTATTAACTTTTTGTTCTTTATTTCATGGTACTCTTAAAAAAAAAAAGTGTCCTCTGTCTCCTCCAGCGGTCTTGTCTCATTAGGGGATCATACTTTGGCAGATCTGATTGGTCTGCCTCTCTCTGGTTACTGGATCCCCTTAAGTACTAGGTTATTTCCATTTTTAATTTTCTGCTTAAGCTAGGTTAAACCTCTCCATAGTTGGAGGCACAACACTTTCTACTCTTGCATCAAGAGTGTGAGAGGAAGTCTCTATGTTCCTAGGTGTCTCTAAATACAAGTATTAGTATTCTTTTAGCTTCAGAGATGTAAAAGAAGTTCTCCTATACTTTTTCTGGTAAGATCCAGATCCCTCTCTCCCAAGCAAGACCACACACATGCTCTGAGGCAGGGTCTCCCCTTAATCAAGGAGTCCACATGTCCTCTCAGACCTAGTTCTTCCATGGCTCTCTGCTGCTGCTCCTTGAGCCCCCTTCAGTCTTGGACATCCCAATAGAACCTATAGCCTTCAGCACCTCTCAGACTTCTCCAGCTTACTCATCCCAGCCAGCTGAAGGCTGAGGGAAGGAAGTGTATCAGAGATGCAGAATCATTCCCCTTTTCTTTACGTTTTGATGACCAATAGCCTATATTTTTATAACTGGCTCACACTATCTAAGCCCAGTGTGAATAAGGTTATGTGAGTTAATGTATAAGAAAATATAAAATAATGGGATCTTAAAAATAGAAATAACTTGGAGGCCATAATAAAATGAATCTCTTAATTTGTATGGTGCTTTATGGTTTTCATGAAATTTTATACACACAGTCTCATTTTAGTTCCGAAGTAGCCCTGTGTGATAAGTATGGAAGTTATCATTCTCATTTAACAGATGAGGAAACTAGAGTTCATAAAGATCAAATAACTTGCCCAAGGACAGGCACATGAGTAAAAGTGGAGCTGAATTAGAGAATAAGTCTTCTGGCCCAGAACACTACACCACTACTTGCTTGTTTGTTTCCAGTTGCCTTCAGGACATGTTTCATTGCATAATGATTTCTGGAATCCCTAAGTTACTTGCTACAACTTGTATTATATTTTTTCAACTATTTCTATCATATTGATATGAAAATTTTTAAATGTATATAAATACTAGGTGGTGAGTATAAAGTAATAAGATTTTCTTATGTAATTTGAAATCTAACAAAAAAGGAATTTGAAAATCATTTGAGAAAGATTAATATAACTAGAATACGTGCATTATTTCTTGAAGGTAACTTTTTTGAAGGAGGACATATATTAGGATGTATGAGTACTTAAAATTTTCTCTTTGTAATGTATTTTTTAAACATTTGAATTTATCTTACTATGCAATAGAAATGCACTCAACCATTTCCCTACCAGGCATGACGTGTTTTATCTTAGAGTTTAGTAGTACAGAAGTAAACGAGCGAATAGCTGCTATAAAGACCAGACCTTTGTCCTGATCCCAGTCCTTTTTTGTGCTAACACTGTATCTTAAAGTATTATCTCATACTCAGGAGTGGTAATCAAAATATTTAACAACAAATATGGCCCTGGTCAGTGAGAAGTCAAAACACATGCCTGTAACACCTGGTGTGATCGTATCAGAGTGTACTGATGGTGTGTTAGCCCTGCTCACAGTTGGGCAGTACCTTACACTTTCCTGAGTGCTTTCATACCCGTTCTCTCGTTTGCTCTGGGGTGGGGGTGTGTGTGGAGAATATAGTGTCATTCCCTTTTTTCAAATTGAGAGAATCACAGCCCAGAGAAGTTAAATAAGGGTCCCTTAGAATGAACGACATTTGGCTCTTAGTTTAGTGTTCTTCCTTGGGTAGAAGTTTCCCTCTTCTACCTAAGGAAGAGATGAGAGTAACCATTTTTATTTTATTTTATTTTGTTTATTTTATTTAATTTTTGTTTGTTTTTTAAATTAATTAATTAATTTTATTTATTTATTTTTGGCTGTGTTGGGTCTTTTTTCACTGCACACGGGCTTTCTCTAGTTGCGGTGAGCGGGGGCTACTCTTCGTTGTGGTGCGCGGGCTTCTCATTGCCATGGCTTCTCTTGCTGCAGAGCACAGGCTCTAGGTGTGTGGGCTTCAGTAGTTGTGGCACGCAGGCTCAGTAGTTGTGGCTCACGGGCTGTAGAACGCAGGCTCAGTAGTTGTGGCACACGGGCTTAGTTGCTCCGCGGCATGTGGGATCTTCCCGGACCAGTGATCGAACCCGTGTCCCCTGAATTGGCAGGCGGATTCTTAACCACTGCACCACCAGGGAAGCCCGAGAATAACCATTTTTAATAGGACAAATATCAGGTTCTTTCAGAGAAAACTCATAGTAGGTGGTGGTGAGTAGAATGAGCAATCCCCATCCCCCTGGAGTCTTCCTGTCCCAAGCTAATCCTTCACTTCCAAGGTCCCTTGCAGGAGATGCCTGCCCTGGAAAGTGAAACTGGCTTGAGTGAGTGAGCAGATTTTTCCCAGTGGAAGAACTAATTCAGCCTCTTTTCTCCACATCCACATGGACATTAAGTACAAAGCGTTACTTTTAAAAGTACATTCTTTTAACTGCTTGTTTTTCTCCTTCTTCCTTCCACAGAATGGTCTCCCCTCAGTGAGCAACCCATATGTTTTTAATGGTGATTTTGTGGATCGAGGAAAAAATTCCATGGAGATCCTAATGATCCTGTTTGTGAGTTTTCTGGTCTACCCCAATGACCTGCACCTGAACAGAGGCAACCATGAAGATTTTATGATGAATATGAGGTAACCTAGGCCTGTGGATTTCCTCTTTTGTTTCCTGTTCTGGAAAATGCTGCCATGTTTAGCTCCTAGCGGAGAGTGAGAGGTGAGTGTAGAGAAGCAGGGATGAGGAGAATCTCAAGGAAGAGCTCAATTCTTACAGCGATTTACCTCCCCCAATCTTCTGCTGTGTGAGTGAGTATAAATTGCTCTAAAGTTCCCTTCCTATCTTTTCTTCCCGTTCTTCCTTCGCCCTTCTATTATGTTTCCTTCTTCCCGTGCCCAGCCTTCACAAGCCAAATTGTGTGCCGAGTAGACGTGTTAGGCCAGGTTTGGAGGTGTGGTAGGTTGTATGAGCAGGTTTAGATGGACTCATTCTCTTGCTACTCTTTTGGCTTGCATCACATGTTGTCTCAGAAACTAGTACTGTGTTTTTCACTGATGTGTATATTTTTTATGACACGGTGATTGCTTTTGGCATAGTTGTTCATAAACATATTTGAGAACAGCTGTAACATAGCGTTTCAACTATCTGACTCACTGGAGTTTTGGGGAATAAAGATTGGTTAAATGGTTTACCAATTTTTGCTGAAAGGCTCAGTAAGTGACAAATGTTCTCCTTTCTCTTCTTTCCTCCTCCTCCTCCTCTTCCCCTTCCCCTTTCCCTTCCTCTTTTTCTTCCTCTCCTTCTCCTTTTGTTTTTCTTGTTTCTTGTTTTATGAAAAACAGAATCCAGTTTGCTCTAGGGAAGTAGAAGGCATGGCATGTTTCATGCTATGGTCCTGGGCTTTTGGGTGCCTAGATCAAAGCTCAGCAGCTGATTAGTTTTGTCTTTGGGGCAGTTTTGGCGCTTGGCCTGAACACAGTTTCAATTCTAATCCTCAAGTATGGAAGCAAATGATAAGATTATGAAGAAAAAAAAAAACCCAAAATCTCAAGGCTACTTTCAGAGACCCATTATATATAATAAAGCTCAATCTGTTTATTTGGGCATGCCATTTATCCTTCCATTTATTTAGCTAGTCAACTGTATTTATCTAGTGCCTACAATGGTTAGTGAAAGAGACATGGCCCCTGCCCTACTGGAGTTTACATCTAACAGGGAAGACACGAGTTGAGCAGGTTTTTCAAGTGTGATGAGTTTGTAAAGTGGGGGATCCAATCTGTCTGAGGGGTGATTGGAAGGTTCTCCCATAGAAGTACGGCATTAGCCTGAGACCTGGAGGATGAATTAGGCGATCAAGAGAGGACCGTGGCAGGGGGGATGAGAAACTGTTCCACAGTGAGGAGACAACTTATGCAGAACTTGAGAAAGGACTTTTTAGACTTGAAAGAAGTTCAGGATGGGAGGAACAAAGACTGAAGGACAGGATGGTACCTGATAGGGCTGGAGACGTAAGAAATGATTGCAAAGAAATTTGGGCTTTCTCCTGAGGACAAGAGAAAATCATTGAAGAGTATTATACAATTTGTGTTTTAAAATGCAGCAGGAAGATTAGTTTGGAGAGGGACAAGAATTGATATGGGGAGGCCAATTAGGAAGTAGTTGAAGAGATAGATGATGGAGTCTCACTTAGACTTGTGTGGTAAAGATGGAGACCCAAAGCAGTAGATATATTCAGGAGGAAGTTTAGGCAATGATTTAAGGCTTGGTAACGTGATATGGGGGACTTGAAAGGAGAGAGAATTAGGGATGATCTCCAGGTTCCTAGCTTGAATTTGCAAGATCACTGTTATTAGGAACATGATAAGTGGAGAAAGTTGGGGTGAGGGAGAAGGATGAGTTCAGTTTGGGGTAAGCTGATTCGAGGTGCTGTTGAGTAGGCAGGGCTGAGTTCATCTTGGAAAACATAACGTTACCCTGTAGAAGCTTCACATGATATGATTTGCATGGAAACCTGGAGTGAGTGTGCTGTGTTCTGACTTCACCGTGTTAAAGGTGTTAAAGGTATATATTATTATCCTAAGGCAAGGAAAGTAATTGAAAAAAAGTTTTCATCATTAATTCTCCCTTAGTGACTGCTATTCAGGCATTAAAATTCCTGACACTTTCTATTAAAACCCTCAATACCATTACATGAACTTTATGAGAGAGTATAAAGAGCCAACTTGTTATCTTCTAGGCTTTTCTTTGTCTTTATTCAGTCTTTTTGCCCCCTGATCATTCATTTACTATAAAATATAGGATGTCTGAGAAATTCTATCTAAATGAAAAGCATTTTCCCACACACTCTCCCCCAGTGGCCACAGCACACATCTCTGAATACTTACAGTACTTACACACCTGTGCATACCATGTATTTCTTAAGTTGTCGTGTAATTGTTTCATGAAAATTTATCTTCTTTTCCCGAAGCTCCTTGAGGATAGGGACAATGTCATCTGCTGCTTTTCTTCTTTCCCATCGTGCCTACCGAAGTCTTGGATAAGTAATCATTCCAAATAAAGTCTAGTTTCTTGAGTTCTTGATACTTGTGGTAGCGAGATGGCAAGGGCTCCCTTTTTTGCATGACTTGACTCATGTAAATAGGAGTTCTCAACATTCAATGAAAGCGTTGAAATCCCATTGTTTTTTTTCAGGTATGGCTTCACAAACGAAGTTTTGCATAAATATAAGGTAAGGCTCTTTGTTTTTTGCATTTTCTTTGCTGTTTATACATAGAAGTTAAAAAAAAAGAAAGCTTCAAGAAGGGTGAGGGGAGAACTAGTCAGAATTCATGCCAATAATATAAAAGCACAAAAGGAAGCCCTGGGGCTTCCCTGGTGGCGCAGTGGTTGAGAGTCCGCCTGCCAATGCAGGGGACACGGGTTCGTGCCCCGGTCCGGGAAGATCCCACATGCCGTGGAGCGGCTGGGCCCATGAGCCATGGCTGCTAAGCCTGCGCGTCCGGAGCCTGTGCTCCGCAACGGGAGAGGCCACAGCAGTGAGAGGCCCTCATACCGCAAAAAAAAAAAAAAGGAAGCCCTGGCCATAGTGAAGACCTGTTTTTCTTTCTAGACACAAGCTTTTTCATTGTGACTTCTGTGCAAGTTTTAGCATAGATACAAACATATTCCATTGTTTTAAAGGTACCTGGGATTTGTTCTACTCAGGTATGGTAAAATGTGCAGACCTGGAAATGACTGTCATGAAGGAAAAGGTTTTTACTCATAGTTCCTTAGAAACTGGAGGCATGGCACAGCACACCCTGCGGCCACATGGGGAAGCACTCCGGGGGTCAGTCAGAGGGGGAGGGAATGAGGGCAAACATGGACAAGAGCCTTTATTGTGGTTTCCTTGACATGGACAAAAGCCTTTATTGTGGTTTCCTTGGGAAGAAATGGGTGAGGCATTGTAAACAGGTTTAGGATTGGCTAGTTTGAATAGTTTTAGCAGGCTCTGGGGCTTAGGGCTTGTCCCAGGTTGTCTGGTATCTGGCCCTGGGGTGACTGGAGCTGACAATAGTGACCCTGGGTGTGAGAATTCCATAAAGGACTAATTGGGAGGATAGGCTCTGGATAGTTTGGTTTGCATATGAAAGGTAGCCTCACTTACATACAAAAGGCAAGTCCTTTACTATCTCTAGGAATTAACTAGCCCTGGGAGGGGCAGTCTCTTCTCAAGGGTCAGCAAGGCACCAAAATGTCAAAGTATCAAAAATACAGACCAAAAAGACATGATTAATGCATGCTTGTTGGTTAGTGATTCCATCCTGACCTTCTTTGGGTGGCATGAAAACTGTGGGGTTTTGTCCATATGTTGGGACTATTCAATAAACTTGAACTATCAGAAAAAAACAAACTTACTCAAGCTCTTACTTACAGCTACATGGGAAAAAGATCTTACAAGTCTTGGAAGACATCTATACCTGGCTCCCAATTGGTACAATCATTGACAATGAAATCCTGGTCATACATGGAGGGATATCAGAGTCCACAGACTTGAATTTACTCCACCGTATAGAAAGAAACAAAGTAAGAAGCAGTGTTTGCATGAATGTTGTCTCAGAGATTTATAAAGGGATACGTACCTCCCTTCATTTATTATTTTGTATTGATTCGTGTTTTAGTGGTTGCTGTAACTCTGAAAAGATTAGTACAAATTTTAAGAAAATCTATGATTGCATGATAAGGAACTAAATGGATAACTTCTATATATGGAAAATGCATTGTTAAAAATTCATGGTGAGGGCTTCCCTGGTGGCACAGTGGTTGAGAGTCCGCCTGCCGATGCAGGGGACACGGGTTCGTGCCCCGGTCCGGGAAGATCCCACATGCCGCGGAGAGGCTGGGTCCGTGAGCCATGGCCGCTGAGCCTGCGCGTCTGGAGCCTGTGCTCCGCAATGGGAGAGGCCACAACAGTGAGAGGCCCGCGTACCGCAAAAAAAAAAAAAAAAAATTCATGGTGAAAGTGGAAAAATGAGGAAATATCGGCATTTCGTATAGTTTCTAAAAGTGAAAAATCCTGATTTTTGAAAAGTTAAAATTTCTACTTAATTAATTAAAGTTGTGGTAAAATATACAAAACATAAAATTTACCACTTTAACCATTTTTAAGTGTATAGTTCAGTGACATTAAGTACTTTCACATTGTTCTGCAACCATCACTACTGACACCACCATCCATTTCTAAAACTTTTCATCTTCCCAGACTGAAACTCTACCCATTAAACAGACTCCCCATTCTACCTTCCCCAGCCCTTGGCATTCTGTCTTCTGTCTCTATGAATTTGACTGCTCTAGGTGCCTCATAGAAATGGAATCATACAGCAATTTATTTCTGAATTGGTATGATTTCCCTTATATATTCCAAATGGCTCAGGGTAATCTGGGGGGGAATATTTTAATATTTCAACTTAAGCAATCATATTCAATACAGCAGAAGCAGAGCAGGAATATGTATTGACACTCTGAGGGTAGTGGGTGTGGGGGGCCTGTGAAGCTCCCAGCCGTAGTGAACAGCGTCTTTGGCTGGGCCTTGCAGAGTGACTGCAATCGTCTTCCGCCTGTACCAGAGCCCAGCCAACACTCCCAGACTAGGGGGTAGACGGGGTGCCAGGTGGGCATGAGGACCAGTGGCAGCTCTGGAGCCAGGTGATCTTGTACGGTCCTAGTGAGAAACCTAAACCCTTACTCCTCAGGACTGATAATCGACTTCCAACCAATCTAAGCAAGTGGGGTCTAGAGCTAGAATTTAATTTGATATGGACAGAAATGTGATTCCTGTTCACCTTGAGTTTTTTTTTTAAATATTTATTTTTGGCTGCGTCGGGTCTTAGCTGTGGCACGCGGGCTCCGGAGTGCGTGGGCTTTGTAGTTGCGGCATGTGGGCTCTGTAGTTGTGGCGCGTGAGCTTAGTTGCCCCGCAGCACGTGAGATCTTAGTTCCCCGACCAGGGATCGAACTGGCGTCGCCTGCATTGCAAAACAGATTCTTAACCACTGGACCACCAGGGAAGTCCCACCTTGAGTTTTTAGAGCCCTTATGCCTTTATACACATATGAATGATAATATTGTTGCTAACTCCTTCTCATCCTTTTAATTTCAGCTTAAATATACACCCCTCCTCTGGAAAGCCATCCATGACCTCCACACTAGATCAGGTCCCCTTCTGTGTGCTTTCAAGCCCCTTGTACATATCCTTCATAAAAGTTACCAAAATTAAATAAGCAGTTGTAGTACTGTTTGTTTACCATCCTCCCCTGCTTCTCTAGTTCACTGATACAACCCCAGCACCAAGATGTAGTTAAGTATTAATTAATGTTTGTTGAATATCTCCTAAGAGGTTTAAGACCAAAGTAGGGCAAGTGTAAGATAAAACTGGAAAAAAATCTTTTTACAACCCTTTCCTGATTCTGTGGTGACTTTACATACCCCAGTCCCCAGCCTCACCCAGTGATGACCATACTTCCTGGTTTACACCTGTTGTCTTGGTGTAGTTATTAATAGCACATCCCTTTACTCTCAAAAGTATCCCAGTTGCAGTAAATTTTAAGGTACCTAGTTTAAGTCACCTTTCTTATAATATCAGCAAACAGTCAAGTCAATAAGACGTTTCAATCAACATGGGGTAGTCACTGTTAACATAATGAGTGGATATGATTCTAGCCAGGAGCAAGGGAACATGATGTTTCTGTCAGTCAAATATCGGCAAGCACATGGCAGGAATGCAACAGTCCACCACCACTTGCCCTGTGACAACAGCGCTAATCAGCCATGGCAGCCAGTACCAAATGATCAGATTGAAAATTTTTCCTTTCCTGAGGTTAGCCTGAGAAGCCTGGCCTCTCTAGGGCTATTTGAGATATTAAGAGCATGTGTCTGGAATGCCCATTACTGTCTCTGTGGAGACCCTAAATTGAGAGCCACCTTAACCTAGCAAACACCATGGAGCTCTGATATCAGACAGATGTAGCTAGCATTACATCCATTACATCCTGCTTCTGCCACTTCCTGGCTGGGTGACTGGGCAAGCTGCCAACGATTTCTAAGCCTCAGTTTCCACATGTATTATACATTGAAGCTAAAAATACCTACTGTATTGAATTGTTGGGAGGATTAAATATAATTTCCTAGATGAAGAAAATGGCATAGAGTAAGCTTTGAACATAACTCTATTCTGCAACTCTCTCTTCTTTTTCCTGATACTTAAAACTAAGGTTTGAATTTCAGTCACCAAGACAGACCCTGGGGAGAAATTTTGGGGCCAGGAATTTTACCAGGGTACCTCAAATTTCACCCCCTTTGGGGATCATTGTTCCACCTACTGAAAAGACTGGCTTTAAAGGTAGAAATTTGACTTGTGTATTTTTTGTCTACCCTGCCTAGAGTGAAGTTGAACTGGTAGCACGTGCTTGTTGTGTGAAACTCTACCAGATGAGATACAAAAACAGGTTTTCAAGTTCAGTTTTATAACCCCCACTTGCCCATCTGTTTGGACCCTCCAAGTGTAGGGGTGACCATGCTTCCTGTTGATACCTGCTGTTATGGTATAATTGTTAATAGGAGAGGGGTAGGGTTGGGGGAACCTGATGACAACCTCCATTCTAGGTTCATTAAAGGTATTTTGTAAGGTCGGCAGGTTGGGGAGGAGGGTGAATGCAGAGGGACAGAGAAGGAAGACTCTATAACACTAAGACTCTGGTTTAGTATTTTTCAAACTCCCTGGCAGGGGTTGTGAGAAGGGATGGCTAGTAGGACCCCCAGGAGAGAATGATGATGTGGTACCTTAGCAGGGGCTGAACAAAGTATCCTGATCCCAAGTGGCCTTGAAAACGGTGGAGCCACATGTACTTAAGAGACCATGTGGTTTTGCCCTGCCTGATGACCTTATCAGAAGTGAGTTGTGTGGAGCCACGTCCAGAGTGTCCTCCCAGAATATTATGCTCTGCCTAAGACCTGGCGACATTTGCTGGTGGGGAGACAGGGAGGGTAGGCTGTGAACTCACTAATAATAGCTGAAATTGAACTCCAACCATCTCAATGAGACAGGACCTCAGAATAAGGTTCAATTTTATTTTTGAAAAACAAAGGTAAGACTTTATATACACCCTAGTTTATAGAAGAAGCTTAAGTGTCTACCACAGAGAATTGTCCATCACTGAACTAAGGTCACCAATGTAACAGAAGTATTATTTCCAATTGTTTTGTATAAAGGTATGGTACTGCAAAGAAACAAGTATAAAATTACAGTCTCAAGTTATGTAAGGGAATGTAGAAGGGATTATAGTAATTGATGTACTATCAGAGAGATATTTTATTTCCAAAGAAATACATTGCCTTCGTTACTAGGATTAGAGAATGTAATCAATTGCTTGCAGGTCTGACTGAGAACCCAGTGCATTTAAGTTGAAGGGCTTCCGAAGTTTTCAACTTATGTCCCCTTTGTGCACTTTCCTAGGCACAGATGTACTTTCTCTCATTTCTCCTGGAAAACACAGCAAAAGGAAAAGCAACCATCCTCTTGAGGTGTTTCTGAACTCTAGGCCTGTTAGTTCTCTCTCTTAGCCCCATGTATAGATAAAGGCTCAGAGGGAGACTAGTTTTCCCTTAGCATCTTCTTTTTCCTGTCAGGACGCCACAGAACATATCTCTACTGATATCTGTGCCTCTGGGGTCTTTTAGAAACTCTAACGGGAAACTTTCCCTTAGGACAGTATCTCTTTTTGAAAAATGTACAAACAGAACATAACAGCCCCACTTTTAGAGATCAGTTGATCAATAAGATGAAGGAGGTAGGTGAGATGGAAAAGGGGACCATGAGGTAGGTGAGATGGAAAAGGGGACCATGTGTTTTCCATTGGGTCAAGGCACAACAATATAGACAGAATAGCAACTAGTGCTGAAGCTTCTACATGCAGCACCCTGAGCATAGGGTTTGGCTAAAGCATAAATTTGTTTTGTAGTTGAAATCTGTGCTGATGCCACCAATTCCAATAGATGGAGACCATGCTACTGAGAAGGGAAATAAAGTAGGTACAACCATTACAGCTCGGGGAATCAGAACAAATGGATCCCTTTCTGAACAATTAACAAAGCATGAATGGGAACAGGTAAGTAATCAAACTGTTCACTAAAGTGGCAGTGAAGATGCAGCATAGATGATGTTGTTCTAATAATATACAAAAAGTGACTTACCTTTCTAAGCAGATCATATCCTTCTCTCTAAATTCATTACTATATTTTTAATAGCTTAATTGAAATATAATTCAAATACCATATTTAAATGGTATTTAAAGTATATAATTCATTGGGTTTGGTATATTCACAATGTTGTACAACTATCCCCACAATCTAATTTTAGAACATTTTCATACCTGAAAAAGGTACTTGACATACCTATTACCAGTCACTTCCCATTCTCTCCCCACCCCCGACCACCATCCCTGCACGCTTAGACCACCACTAATCTCCTTTTTTTTTAAAAAAAAAAATTATTTATTTGGTTGTGCCAGGTCTTAGTTGCATCAGGCGGGCTCCTTAGTTGTGGCACATGGGCCCCTTAGTTGCAGCCAACAGTCTTTTTAGTTGTGGCATGCGGACTCTTAGTTGCAACATGCATGTGGGATCTAGTCCCCTGACCAGGGACCAAACCCGGGCCCCCTGCACTGGGAGCACGGAGTTCTATCCACTGCGCCACCAGGGAAGTCCCACCACTAATCTCCTTTTGGTCTTAATAGATTTCTCTATTCTGGACATATTATAGAAATGGATTCATACAGTATGTGATCTTTTGTCTGTGGCTCCTTTTACTCAGTCACAGTAGAAGAAGTGCTTTTGCTTTGTGCCTTTGGTGTTGTATCTAAGAAGCCATCGCCTAACCCCAAATCATAAAGATTTATTTCTATGTTTTCCTCTGAGAGTTTTATAGTTCTAGTTCTTACGTCTAGGTGTCTAATCCATTTTGAGTTAATTTTTGTGTATGGTGTGAGGTAGGTGTCCAAATTGATTTTATTGCATGTGGATATCCAATTATCGCAGCACCATTTGTTAAAAAGACTTCCTCTCCTTGAATTTTCTTGACACCCTTCCGAAAAATCAATTGACTGTAAATATGAAGGTTTATTTCTAGACTCTTAATTCTATTCCATGATCTATATGTCTATCTTTTTATCATTACTACACAGTTTTGATTACTATAACTTTGTAGAAAGTTTTGAAACGGGGAAGTGTGAGTTCTCCACCTTTATTCTTCTTTTTCAAGATTATTTTGATTATTCTGGGTCCCTTGAATTTCCATATGAACTTTAGAATCAGCTTGCCAATTTCTACCAAAAAAGAGCTGGGATTTTGGTAGGCATTGCCTTGAATCCGTGGATCAATTTAGTTACTATTGCAATCTTAACAATATTATATCTTTAATTTCATGAAGGTGGGATGTCTTTCCATTTGTTTAGATCTTTAATTTCAGCAGTGTTTTGTAATCACGTACAGTGAGGCACTTGTTAAAGTTATTCCTAGTTTATTCCCAAATATTTTTGATGCTATTGTAAATAGAATTGTTTTCTTAATTGCATTTTGGATTGTTCATTTCTGGTATACATTGACTTTTGTATACTGAGCTCATGTTGTGAACCTTGATAAACTTGTTTGTTCATTCTAATGGTTTTTAGTGGATTCCTTGGGACTTTGTATAAACAAGAGCATGTTATCTGTGAATAAAGATAGTTTTGCTTCTTCCTTTCCAATCAAGCAGTCTTTGATTTCTTCTTTTTTTTTTTTTTTTTTTTTTTTGTGGTACTCGGGCCTCTCACTGTTGTGGCCTCTCCCGTTGCGGAACACAGGCTCCGGATGCTCAGGCTCAGCGGCCATGGCTCACGGGCCCAGCCACCCCGCGGCACGTGGGATCTTCCTGGACCGGGGCACGAACCCGTGTCCCCTGCGTCGGCAGGCGGACTCTCAACCACTGCGCCACCAAGGAAGCCCCTTTTATTTCTTTTTCTTGCTTCATTGCCCTGTCTAGAACCTCTAGTACAGTGTTGAAAAATAGAAGTGGTGAGAGTAGACATCATTGTCTAATTCCTAATATTAGGGGGAAGCATTCAGTCTTTCCCATTAAGTATATTAGCTGTTTGTCCGTATATTACCTACCCTTCATCAGATTGAGGAATTTCTCTTCTGTGCCTACTTTCTTGAGTGTTTTTACTATGAAAGAGTGTTGGACTTTGTCAGTGCTTTTCAGTATCTATTAGGACGATCATGTATTGTTTGTCCTTTATTCTACTAATGTGGTGTATTACATTGGTTGATTTCAGACGTTAAACCAACCTTACATTTCTGGGATAAATCCAACTTGGTCATGGTGTATAATCCATTTTGTATGTTGCTGGCTTCACTTTGATACTTTTCGAGGCTTTTTTCTTTGTAGGCAGTTTAAAAATTACTAATTCAGTCTTCTTTCTTGCTATAGTTCTATTCAGATTTTCTACTTCTTCTTGAGTAGTTTGTATCTTGGTATCCTTGATAGCTTGTATCTTCCTTGAAATTTGTCCATTTCATCTAATTTATCTAATTTGTTGGCCTAAAGTTGTTTGTAATATATACATATATGTGAAATATATATATATATTAAAAATTTTTTTTTAATATCTGCAAGGTTGGTAGTGATGTCTCCTCTTTCATTTCTGATTTTAGTAATTTGAGTCTCTTTTTTTCTTGGTCGGTCTCGCTAAGGTTTGTCAATTTTATTGGTCTTTTCAAAGAATCAACTTTTGGGTTTATTGACTTTTCTCTATTGTTTTTTATTCTCTCCTTCACTTATTTCTGCTCTAATCTTTATTATTTCCTTCCTTCTGATTTAGATTTATTTTGCTCTTCTTTTTCTAGTTTCCTAAGGTGAGAGGTAGTATCACTGATTTGAACTCTTTTTCCTTTGCTAATGAAGCTGTAAGTTTCCCTTAAGTACTGCTTTAGCTCCATCTTGTAAGTTTTGCTGTATTGTGCTTTAGTTTTCAATCATCTCAAAGTATTTTCTAATTTCTCTGGTGATTTCTTCTTTAACCTATATGTTTTTTAGGAATATGTTGTTTAATTTCTGTATATTTGTGCATTTCCCATATTTCCTTCTCTTAATTATTTCTGCTTGAATTTACTTGTGGTTGGAGACCATACTTAGCATGATTAAAATCCTTTTAAAACTTATTGAGGCTTTTTTTTTAATGCTCTAGCATATGGTCTATCTTGGAAAATGCTCCATGTGCTCTTGAGAAGAAAATGTATTCTGTTCTTATTCAGTGAAGTGTTATATATATATAGCTGTGTTTTAATAGAATATTTATAATAATTGGTTTGAAATCCTTGTCTGCTAAGTCAACTTCTAATCCCCTCAAAGGCAATTTCAATTGTCTGCTTATTTTCCCCTGTGTGTGTGCGTGTGTGTGTGTGTGTGTGTGTGTGTGTGTGTGTGTGTTTGCATGTCTTGTAATTTTTTGTTGAAAACTGGATATTTTAGGTAATACAGTAACTCTAATTATTTCCATGCTCCTCTAGGGCTTGTTATTATTTGCTTTCTTGCTCATTTATTTGTTTAGTGGCTTCCCTGGACTAGTTTGGTTAAGTCTACACCCCGAGCTACACCCTGAGCATGGAGTCTTAACCACTGGACTGCCAGGGAAGTCCCTAAAATGTGATTTCTGGTATAAAATAATCCCTAATCAATGAGGAGAAAGAGAGGCGGGAGGATAGAGAGAGAGAGGAAGAGGTAATAAGAGAGAAATAGAATTAATCACTGGCTTGTGCATTCAAAGTATTTAGAAATCAAAGAAGTATAAGAGGCATCCTATAGCAAGTAGGAAAAGATGCCTTCTTAAATTTTGATATCTAAATTCCAAAGACCAAAGGTTATAGTGAATAAAAAGGATGATGCCAGAAAGATTGGAGTTGCACAAGAAGAAAATCAGGGAGTCTGGAAGCTTGGATGAGTTAGAATTGTAGAGAGATGGAGCCTTAAGAAGTGGGAGGAAGGAAACTGGTGGTCATTATTCTGTAATAGAACCTCCCCTCACCCCAACAATGTAGATGAGGCATCTTACAGACTCAGTGTACATGACTGGAGCTGACACAGGGTAAAATTGACCAGAATCTCATTCCCAATATTTTAATAATTTCAGTTGTACCTTTAATTTTCTTTCCTCATTTCCTGGTATATCATGGACATGCACACTTTAGTTAGCTAGAGTTGAAATTTCCAGATAAAAACAGATTTCACAATTACTTTATTTCTTAATATCTGTGAGCTGTGTTGCAGTAAAGATCGTAGGCTATTTGTTCCATACTCATGGAAGTGCATGATTCTTGGCAGAGTGCTGTAATTTAAATTTTATCTTATATTCCCTGAGATGTGGGGGATGTATGTATTCATAGCTGAGTCATCGTATAGAGACAAGCGTGACCTCTTCTTTCAGGACAGACTTGAAACAACAAAGAGACCAGAAAGGTTTAAAAAATAATTTTAATTATTTATGTCCTGAGTGACTCCCTTCTCTTAATCCACTTAACAAGTAAAATTTATTGAGTATCTACTATGTGTCAGGCACTGTTCTAAGCTTTTGAGAAAGTAAGTGACCTAAGATATATTCCCTCATGGAGTTTATGTTTTAGGGGGAGGAGCTAAATAATATGTATATATGAAGTTATTTATATAATATTACATATATAATTATATAACAATACCAAGTAACTATGTTAAGTGAGAAGTTCTATGGAAAAAATTAAAACTAGAACAAGGTTAGGGGAAACAGAGAACTGGAGGTAGGGGACAGAGGTGCAATTTTAAATAGGGTAGTCAGCTTCATTGAGAAGGCTCCCAAGAGTGAAATGGCTTTTTTGTAGTCACTTGGCTAGTCACTGAAAGATAGAGCAGGATTTGATCCCAGGTCTGACTTTAATGCCCATGCTCTTTTTCTGAAGGGAAAGATGATTTAAGAGTGATAGGAGAGGGCTTCCCTGTTGGCGCAGTAGTTGAGAGTCCGCCTGCCGATGCAGGGGACACGGGTTCGTGCCCCGGTCCGGGAGGATCCCACGTGCCGCGGAGCGGCTGGGCCCGTGAGTCATGGCCCCTGAGCCTGCGCGTCCGGAGCCTGTGCTCCGCAACGGGAGAGGCCACAACAGTGAGGAGCCTGTGTACCGCAAAAAAAAAAAAAAAAAAAAAAAAGTGATGGGAGATCTCAAGAAAGTAATGAACTACTCTAGTCTCCCCTCATCCAATGAGGCGATGGGTAGGCAAGGAGTAGGTATCTAAAGCCATCTAGGTACTTGGCTGGAAGGTTTGGACTGAGCACAGCTTTTAAGACGACATATTCAAAAGCTGGAAGGAGGACACATAACTAAGGGAAAATACAAAAGTGAATCTACAGTGTTAGTGTCTTAGAAGAGAAGCGTTTAGATACATCTTTCAGAGCTATTATCTCTCCCCAAAAGCATACTTTTGAAAACTGGATTACTTAAAACTGTAGGCAAGCATGGGACACTTGCAGGATTTATTTTGGATTTAGGAGGTGTAAAGGCTGAGACACAAATAGATTTTTGTTGACCAGGTCATACAAAAGTTGTCATTCAGTAAAAACCTTTCCAATCTTTGGTTTGAAAATTTTCAGGAAGGAATGTTGTAAATACTTATTCTTTCATGTACTCCCAAAGGCCCTTGCATTTCAGTGGATAGGATGTTGTTGAGAGGAAAGAGATTGTCTCTGCTGAGGAATTTGTTTCACCAACAAAGTGACTTTTATAGCATTTTTTGTTTGTGAGCCTCAGAATTAAATCTATATTGTCGTCACAGTCTCTGTAAAGTTTATGAATGAATGAATTCTGGGCAGAGAAAAGAAATGCAGAACTCATTGAATGGATGGTTCTGAAGAAGCTCCCTTCTATAAAATTGATACCCCTTATGACCCCTTATGACCTTGAACCAAAGAAAAATGAATGTTAGCTATATCTTCCTCATTTCACTGAGGAGTCAGCTAAGGCCCGAATAGGTTCCATGGTGACATAGGTGACACTTGAAGAGCTAACTCCATGGCCAGTGCTTATTCTAGTTTAACAGGGTCCCATCATATGTACATTTAACTTATGTAAATTTCAACTATATACATATGGCAAAAAGGAGAAAAAAGTATAAAATTTTAGTTTCATATAATTTATCATATGTTCTACATTATCACATATATAAAATATTCACACATCCATATGTCTGTATAGGGTTTTATATACAAAATCATGTATACTATGCTTTAAGAGTAATTTAGAAGGTTTTCCTGGGGTAATTTTGGCTGTAAATGACTTGCATCTTATGTAGGAATTTAAAAGTTAATCTCCTCCTTATAAAACACGCCTCCTCGTGTTCCATGTTTTCTCCTTCATTATACTAAAGGTCAGATCATGTCTCCCAGACATGAATTCATGGTGTAAGATTCAGATATGGCTCAGTTTCAAATGCAAGTGTTATTTTCATCATAATCACCAGCAAAGTAAATGGGTTCCATTATATTTATTTGTAGGGTAGGGTTGTGCCAGTGTTGGAATTCAGTGGGGGAGAAAGGAGAATCCTGATCTGCATCTTCTTAGGTGGTTTTAATTCTCACTTCAGTCAATCATCAAAAAAATCAATCATCTGCAAGTGTCCGGAATGTGCCTGGTGCACAGTGTCTCCAGTTCTGATGAGGTGCTTAGCATTCCAGAGAAGTTCTCCTACCAGTTCTGTTCTCTCCACCTCACTGTCTTTCCCCTCACTTATTTCTAGCTCCCCTTCAATACCAGACCTATAAATGGGTGTACAGTCAGGTTTAGTGGGACAACCATTTCTGGTCTTTTTAAGATCTGATTTGGACCCACTAGAATAACTGCACAACTTAAAATACATGCTTCTTCATGCCCTTCAAAGAAACATGTGGAAAATACAGTCTATTAGACTATGAAAAATTAGAAAATGAAGTCTGTTAGAACTTTCAGATACTTCACAAGCCATCTGGCCCAAATCTCTGATTTTAAAGAAAGTAAGACCCAAAGACTTTTCTCAAGGTTGCATAGCTTTAACTACAAAGCTAGTTTTTCACACTACTGCTGAAGCTCCCATAGGAGATGTTTGAATAAAGAAACATTATATGTAGATCAGAGCTACAAACAGGGAGCCCCCAATTTTTTATGAAAAAATTATTAGAAACTTGGGTCTTCAGTCGTGAGCATCATGCAGGCTGCACTTGCCTCTTTCATCCCCACAAGGAAATGTTATGCTAATAACATACTTGTGGAAAACCAGTCAATGGCTAAGTGTACTCCTGAAGCTGAGAATGTGCTTATCAAGGAGGGCAAAAAGTGAAGGAGATGCTTTACAAGGTATTCTTGGGTGAACAGTTGCCTATATTTGTGATGGGGAAAAGGCTTTATCATGCTATGTACTCAACAGGACAAAAACCAGGGCCAACACCATAGCTGGGAGACTTACCTTATCTCTTTGAACATATTAAAAACACCAAGTGCCTGTATGTTCACTGTGGGGAGCTACTTTCTCCTTTGAACATGGCAGTGAAGTTCTTTTTAAGAGAAAAGACCCTGTAGGTTAAGCAATTGTGAAGCAATTGCGATGGAATTAAAAAAAAAGAAAAAGCCCAAGGGCTGATCCTTCATGGTTACTAAGTATTGCTACATTGGTTATTGGGGATGGGTAGAAAGGGATTGTGGTGGCTATGGGCATTCAAATTATTCTGGAAAAGATTCATGGAGGAGATGAGTGTGAAACAGTTTTGAAGGAGGAATGAGAAATAGTGAGACTTTGGGATAACTTGGGATAATATTTCTGGAAAAGAAGTTGGAATCTAGAAAGATAAACTCTCAGTTGTAAGTGGCAGCCTAATCTGATTTGTTGTTCCAAGGTTATCGACATTCTGTGGAGTGATCCGAGAGGCAAAAGAGGCTGTTACCCAAATACAGGTCGAGGAGGGGGCTGCTATTTTGGACCAGACATTACCTCCAAGATTCTTAATAAATACCAGTTGAAGATGCTCATTAGGTCTCATGAATGTAAGCCCGAAGGGTATGAAATTTGCCATGATGGGAAGGTAAGCTAACAGTGTTGGTGACATCATCACAGACATCCTTCCCCTAAGCCTAGTCTTTCTTCACAGGATGTGTCTGACCTCGAAGCCCACGGGAAAATGTCTTCCCTAGACCCAAAACAGAACTGCATGCTTTGGTAGATCACTGTCCCTCACCCTAAGAGATATTTGGTTTATTTCTCCGATCCTCCCTAATCCCAGAGATAGAAACTCTGACACATGGCACTAAGTACACACACAGAAAGGCTTTGTTCTGTGCTAATCGCAAGGCAAATCTCCAGTAGTGGGGTTAAGAATGTACTTATCGTCACTGAGCACAGAAAGGCAGCAGTGAATCCAGTTTGCTCTCTTTCACCTTTTGCACTTTCCCTGTGCAGAGCAGAACCACAAAACATACTTCTCTTCTATTCACTGAGTAGGTGAGCTCTAGCAAGTCCCTCTCTGTGGGCAGTTTCGCTGCAGCCACTAAAATGGAATGCGTTGTGCTTCTTCAGTGGTGTCTGATAGGCTAGAGAGGCGAGGCCTGAGGAGCTGGTTTCTGGTCCCAGGTTGTCCTGGGATGCCCCCTTTTCTCCTAGTGAACAGCAATAATTAAAAAGGAATACCAAATTGCATGGCCTTTCCTTCTGTTTCAACACTTTTACTTTTCCTAACTCTTTTAGTTCATTGGAGGCTCATACTGACATTGCGAAATGGTAAGGCAAGTATTATTTAGGGTTTATTTGTAATAAGAAAACGGGGAGAAAGTAGCAGTGGTTTGTCTGAAGTGACCTGCCCATTAGGGCAGGACTGGGCCTAAACCAGCTTTCCTGTCACTGACAAGTATTACCCTCCCAAGGCTCCCCATCCTCCCCCACGCCCCCAAGGTTGGTTCCTTCCCAACAGAGTGGCCATGGTCCCTTATCTAGCCACTATTTCTCTGACCTTAAAGCACTGGTTTTGTGGGGGGCCCTGAACCCTCTAAATCAGTCAGCTACAGACAAAAGAAAAGGACTGTGATACTAGACAAGTTTTATTTTGAATGCTCAAATAGCACAAGGAAAGAAAATAAAGGCTTTACCCCCTTGGAAAATTAGAATTTACAGAACTGAGCATTAAGGAGGATTGTAAGATATGGAACTGAAATTGTACACAAGATTGCACTGTGGGGATGAGTGGCTAGAAGTTCGTACTCCTGGAGACAGTGATTTCAAAGCCTTGTTTCTCTTCAATGGAATCACAGGAAATCCCATCAGACTTGGATGATTTGTATGGATTTTGAACTTTGATTTTTGCTTTTTAAGAATTGAGCTGTTTCTGACTTTATTGAAGGACCTTTTGAGAACTAACTCTATGTGAACCTCACACTCTCTTTAACCAGGTTATTACTGTATTTTCTGCATCTAATTATTATGAAGAAGGTAGCAATCGAGGAGCTTACATCAGAGTGAGTTCTGGTACGCCCCCCCGATTTTTCCAGTACCAAGTAACTAGGGCAACATGCTTGAGGCCTCTTTACCAAAGGTATGTATACTCTAAGGAGATTTTTGAGCTCTGGTACTAGTGACCAAGTAGAACCAGTCCAGAGTGACTAAGAGCAGCCATGGGAGTGAAGAAAATGACTTACTCATTACTCATTAGTATAAACAAAATGGAAGTAATTCCAGAAGCCAAGTGGTGAATGCGCTCATATTTGAAACCAAGAGCAGCAATTTTCAATGTATGCATCTCTTTAGATGGATAAAGCCATCAGCATCCACAAACAGTCCCTAATTGAACATAAGGAAAAGAAAGTCTCTGCACCCACCCACTCCTGTAACCTCCAGCCTTCTCTGCCCCCAGACAGCCCAGTCTGTTCTTGCCTCTTTGGCTCTTCTCTACCCAGAAGTGTATATGACTGAGTTGAGTATGTGTCTCTGTGTGATGGCATTCATAGCTTATCTCCCATTCCTCCCTTTGACATTATCTTTTTAATATTTTTTGTATTATAGAATGAATATGTTTATTGTTAACAAGTGAGACAAAACAAAGATGTATAAAGCAAATGTTAATGATCTTCCCTCCCAGTACTTCTCAGTAATTCTTTTCCTCAGAGGCAACTGAAATTAATAGCCTAGAGAGGATCCTTCCACCCTCTTCTCCTTGCTACTACAAAAATAGACAAGCAATTACTCATTCATTGAATTAAAAAAATGTTGAGCACCTACTATGTGTCAGACACTGTTCTAGGCGCAGATGATATTGAAATAAACAAAATAGGCAAAAGTCTTTTCCCTCATCAAAGCATATCCCTGTGGGAGGAGAAAGGCAGTAAACAACATACATACTTTTTTTTTTTAAACAAAGATAGAATCACACTGCACGGTCTATTCTGCAACTGACTCTTTCCCTAAAGATTATATCGTGAACATTACTCCAAGTTCATACATATAGACCTAACTCATTCTTTTTGATAGATGCATAATATTCTGTAGTATATGTATACCATAACAATTATGGATAGCTAAATCGTATTCAACTGATGGCCATCCAGATTGGTTCTAGGGTTTTGTACTTAAAAGCAATACTATAACAAACATTCCTCTGTGTGTGTGTGTGTGTGTGTGTGTGTCTGTCTGTGTGTACATATATGTATACACATATCCATAAGTTTTTAGTGCTTTTTTTTTACATAAGATTTCAAAATATACGATTTATAATGTTTAAAATTTTGCTAGATACTCCAAAAGAGTTGTAACAATTAACAATCTGGAAAACAACATATTAATTTCTCCACATCCTCATTAGTCTCATAAGTTATTACTCTTCTTAATTTTTGCCAAGCTGATGGATAAAAATGATAAATCTCATTGTTTTAATTAGCATATTTTAGACAGCTGAGTTTACCCATCTTATATTTTTGAACATTGCATTTTCTTTTCTTTGAATTTCCTGTTTATAGTATTCCCCTATTTTATATTGGGCTGTTTGTCATTTTCTGATAAATTTTTAGGAATTGTTTGCATAGAAGGGATGGAGGATTTTTATGGGCATGACGCATATATTTTGTTGGTGTCTTGATTTTACTTTATTCTATGAAATCACATTTTATAATTTCATTATAACTTTTGGATTTTCCCCTTCAGTAGAAAAATGTCTCCACATAAATTTTATACACACACACACATATATATATATTACATATATATATATATTACATATATATTTTTAATTTATTTTAACAGCTTTGTTGAAAGTTTACCAAATTAAAGTATACAATTCAATGATATTTGGTATATTTACAGAGTTGTGTAACATCACCATAAACTAATTTTTGAACATTTGTTCCATCCTAAAAAGAAAACTTGTATCCATTAGTAGTCACTCATCATTATCGCCTCCCCATCCCTGGCCACCGCCCCCCCCATCACAACTCTAGTTAACCACTAATCTACTTTCTGTCCCTATAGATTTGCCTATTCTGGAAATGTCATGTAAATAGGATTACACAATATGTGGTCTTTTGTGACTAGCTTCTTTTTCTTAGCACAGTGCTTTTGAGGTTCATTCATGTTGTAACATGTATCAGTACTTCAGTCCTTTTAATGGCTGAATAACATTCCATTGTATCAATAGACCTCATTTTCTTTGTCCATTTATCAGCTAATAGAAATGTGGGTTGTTTCCACTTTTTGGCTACTATGAATAATGTTGTTTTGAACGTTGGTGGACAGGGTTTTGTGTATACATTTGTTTTCATTTCTCTTGGGTATATACATGAAAGTGGAATTGCTGGCTTATATAGTAATGGTTATGTTTAACATTTTGAGGAACTTGCAAGCTTTTTTCCCAAGGGGATGCACAATTTTACATTCCCACCAGCAATGTATGAAGATTCCAATTTCTCCACATCCTTGACAACCCTTGTTATGATCTGTCTTTTTGATTATAGCCATCTTAGTGGATGTGAGGTAGGAACTCTTGGTTTTGATTTACATTTCCCTCATGACCAATGACTTTGAGGATCTTTTCATGTTCTTTTTGGGCATTTGTATATCTTCTTTAGTGAAATGTCTCTTTCAGATCCTTTTTCCATTTTTAATTGAGTTACTACTCTTTTTATTATTGCATTGTAAGAGTTATTCATATATCCTATATTCATGTCACTTATTAGATATATGATTTGCAAATAGTCTCTTCCATTCTATGGGATGTCTTTTCACTTTCTTGATGTTATTATTTGCAGCACAAAAGTTTTTAATTTTGATGAAATCCAATATATCTTTTTTTTCTGCTTTTTCTGTTTTCTGCTTGTGATGAGGTATCTAAGAACCAACTGCCTAAGTCAAAGTCATGAGGCTTTATTCCTATGTTTTCTTCTGAGAATTTTATAGATTATTTTTATAGATTAAGTTCTTATATTTGGATATCTGATCCATTTTGAGTTAATTTTTGTGTATAGTGTGAGATAAGGGTCCAACCTTATTCTTTAAAATGTGGATATTCAATTTTCCCAGCAACATCAGTGGGAAAGACTATCCTTCCTCTATTTGACTGTCTTGGCACAGTTGTCAAAAATCAATTGACCATAAAGGTATGGGTTTATTTCTGAACTTTAAATTGTACTCCATTGACCTATATGACTATCATAATGTGAGTAACACGCTGTCTTGATTACTGTAGCTTTTTGGTAACTTTGAAATTGGGAAAGGTGAGTTGAATTTGAGTCTTCTTTTTTAAGATTGTTTTCCATGTGATTTTAGAATCAGCTTGTCAACTTATGCAAAAATGCCCACTGGGATTTTGATAGGGATTATTTTGAATATGTAATATCAATTTCGGGCTATTGCCATTTTAACAATATTAAATATTCCAGTCCATATTGTTCTATTTATTTTGATCTTCTTTAATTTCCTTGAAAAATATTTTGTGCTTCTCAGTGTGCAAGTCTTGGACTTCCTTTGTTAAATTCATTTCTAAGTGTTTTATTCTTTTTGGTGCTGTAGTAAGTGGGATTGTTTTTTTAATTTTTAAATTTAATTTTATTTATTTTTTTATACAGCAGGTTCTTGTTAGTCATCAATTTTATACACATCAGTGTATACATGTCATTCCCAATTGCCCAATTCATCACACCACCATCCCCACCCGCCAGCGGCTTTCTGCCCTTGGTGTCCATACGTTTGTTCTCTACATCTGTGTCTCAACTTCTGCCCTGCAAACCAGTTCATCTGTACCATTTTTCTAGGTTCCACGTACATGCATTAATATACGATATTTGTTTTTCTCTTTCTGACTTACTTCACTCTGTATGACAGTCTCTAGATCCATCCACGTCTCAACAAATGACTCAATTTCGTTCCTTTTTATGACTGAGTAATATTCCATTGTTTATATGTACCACATCTTCTTTAACCATTTGTCTGTCAATGGGCATTTAGGTTGCTTCCATGACCTGGCTATTGTAAATAGTGCTGCAATAGACATTGGGGTGCATGTGTCTTTTTTTTTTTTTTAATTTATTTTATTTATTCTTTTTTTTGGCTGTGTTGGGTCTTCATTGCTGTGTGAGGGCTTTCTCTAGTTGAGGCGAGCGGGGGCTACTCTTCATTGTGGTGCGCAGGCTTCTCACTGCGGTGGCTTCCCTTGCTGTGGGGCGTGGGTTCCAGGCACACAGGCTTCAGTAGTTGTAGCACATGGGCTCAATAGTTGTGGCTCACAGGCTCTAGAGCACAGGCTCAGCAGTTGTGGCACACGGGCTTGTTGCTCCGCGGCATGTGGGATCTTCCCGGACCAGGGCTCGAACCCATGTCCCCTGCATTGGCAGGTGGATTCTTAACCACTGCGCCACCAGGGAAGCCCGCATGTGTCTTTTTGAATTATGGTTTTCTCTGGGTATATGTCTAGTAGTGGGATTGCTGGGTCATATGGTAATTCTATTTTTAGTTTTTTAAAGAACCTCCGTACTGTTCTCCATAGTGGCTGTATCAGTTTACATTCCCACCAACAGTGCAAGAGGGTTCCCTTTTCTCCACACCCTCTCCAGCATTTGTTTTTAGATTTTCTGATGATGCCCATTCTCACTGGTGTGAGGTGATACCTCATTGTAGTTTCAATTTGCATTTCTCTAATAATTAGTGATGTTGAGAAGCTTTTCATGTGCTTCCTGGCCATCTGTATGTCTTCTTTGGAGAAATGTCTATTTAGGTCTTCTGCCCATTTTTGGATTGGGTTGTTTGTTTCTTTAATTTTGAGCTGCATGAGCTGTTTATATATTTTGGAGATTAATCCTTTGTCCGTTGATTCTTCCAATATAAGAACATGGTATATCTCTCCATCTGTTGGTACCATCTTTAATTTCTTTCATCAGTGTCTTATAGTTTTCTGCATATAGGTCTTCGTCTCCCTAGGTAGGTTTATTCCTCGGTATTTTATTCTTTCTGTTGCAATGGTAAATGAGAGTGTTTCCTGAATTTCTCTTTCAGATTTTTCATCATTAGTGTATAGGAATGCCAGAGATTTCTGTGCATTAATTTTGTATCCTG